CTCGTCCGCCCCCGGGCTGTGGGGTGGGCCTCGGTCCGAGCCCCCATCTATGTCAGCAGCTGGGCCGTCCGGGTGTCCCAGGGTAACCGGGAGGTCGAGCGCCTGGCACGCAAATTCGGCTTCGTCAACCTGGGGCCGGTGGGTGGGACCGGGATGGACGGGAAGAGGGGGCTTGGAAGGTACTAGACAACCCTAGACCCCGACAAGTGGGAGGGAGCCCACAAGGTCTCCTAAATATCAAGAACCTCAGCCCACCCCTGCCTCAGCCAAGTTCAGCTTCTGGGACTCCCAGAGAGCACCTGGTGGGGAAGGACAAGAAAGGGGGCTGTTACCGGCCCTCGGGGGCTCCAGCAGGGGAGCCTGGTCCTATCGGTGCGGCCGCTTTCCCACATCCCCAGATCTTCCCTGATGGGCAGTACTTTCACCTGCGGCACCGGGGCGTGGTCCAGCAGTCCCTGACCCCGCACTGGGGCCACCGCCTGCACCTGAAGAAAGACCCCAAGGTGAGCCTGGCCTGGAGGCCACCCTCTCGGGGTCTCAGCCGCCTCTTGGGGCCACTAGCCATCTTCTGTGGTTCTCGTGGTTGTTATGAACAGCTGTGTGCTTTCTGTGGCTCAGACCCACCTGGACCACAAGTCTGTACAGCAGGAGGGGGGAGGGAGACCCAGATACGGAAATCATGGCGCCTGCCAGGGCCTGGTACACAGTGGGCACCTCTTGCCCTTCCCCTCCCTCCTCTGGGTCCCAGGGGCTCTGGTAAGGAGGAACAGATGGAGTACCTTCCCCACCGTCTAGGTCGTAGGACGGAGGGAAGGGGATTTTACAACACAGGAATGGGTTCCAAAGAGTAGGAGCTTTAAAGTCACCCAGTGGCCCTCAGGACGCAGTGTCTGGGTGCTCAGAAAGGGGCCTGGGTCTGATCGGGCTGGGCCCTGTCTAGAAAATGCCTGAGATGTCAAGCTGAGGGGTTGAGATGGAGCCTCGGAAGCCCTTGGAGGCCAGGAAGTGCCTTGAACAGGACTGGACAGCTACCTGCTTATAGCACCGGGAGGGAAAGCAGTGGCCAGTTCCTGATGTGGTTTGCAAGAGAGAAGCCAGGCCTGGCGTGGTGATTCATGCCTGTAATCCTGGCACTTCAGGATGCCGAGGCAGGCAGATCATTTGAGCTCAGGAGTTTGAGACCAGCCTGACCAATATGGCGAAACCCCGTCTCTACTAAAAATACAAAAATTAACCGGGCATGGTGGTGTGCACCTGTAGTCCCAGCTACATGGGAGGCTGAGGTAGGAGAATCGCTTGAACCCGGGAGGCAGAGGTTGGCACCACTGCACTCCAGCCTGGGCGACAGAGCAAGACTCTGTCTCAAAAA